AACTGTCTCTGTTTCCATCCACCCAATATGACTATGACCTATCTCCCCTCCAATCGAAGACAGTAAAAATCCACATTTTGGACAGAGAGGACCATAGGTTTGAACTGTTGATGGGAAATCCTCCTGAGCTTTTCAGATATTCATTACAACTTATAGAATGACAACATTGCTATGTTTGTTGTTCTCTTCTTTGTTTGCAGTAGAGAAGCTCATGCTGGGTCTTTTTTTTTGGGATTTGATGAAGGCCCAGTTAGGATAAACACGTTCCAAGGGATTCCTTGACACATTTTAGTTGTTTTTCTTTTCCCTCTTTACTGGTGGGTGAACTTTCAGCCCAGTGGTGTAGGGTTGACATGGATAGAGAAAGCTCGAACAGCCTTCTTCAAAATGAAAAAGGTCTTCTGCAGTCACGGCATAAGCCTAAAACTGAAAATCAGGCTTGTCAGATGCTATATTTTTTCTATCCTGCTCTATGGAGTTGAGAGTCGGTCTCTGACAGAAGGCCACCTGAAGAGACTAGAAGCATTTGAAATGTGGATTTACAGGTGGCTGTTACGTATAAGCTGGGTTGACAAGATCAGAAATGAGGAGGTGATCAGCCGCCTGGGAAAGCCAAGGGAAATCCTCAAAACAATTAAAAAATGAAAATTAGAATATTTCGGACATGTGATGTGACACCCAGAAAAATACGGCATACTCCATTTAATCCTCCAGGGAATGATTAAAGGCAAATGAGGTCCTGGCAGAAGAAGAACATCATGGCTTCAAAATCTAAGGGATTGGTTTGGTCAAAACTCAGCAGCACTTTTTCGTGCGGCTGCTGATAAAAACAGGATCGTCAACGTCCGATAATGGATATGGCACAAGAAGAAGAAGGTGTACAGTTCTGATCTCTCCCATTTTGTGCTCAATCAACACAACGTACATGTACACTTTAAACCCAAGAATACACTAAGGCAGAAGCTTGTCTATTCCAAGGATAAAACACCCAGATGCAAACTGAGCAATGTGATATATGCAATACAATGCAGTGACACATGTGCAAATCTGTATATTGGTGAAACAAAACAACCATTTCACAAACGCATGGCACAACACAGGAGATCAAACCATTCTGGATAAGATTCAACGGCATTTGAAAGACAAAGGTCACTCTTTTGAAGAAAGCAAAATCCACATTTTGAATAGAGAGGACCATTGGTTTAGAGTGGGGTAAAAATATCCAACTATGCTAGAAGTGAACATCCCTCCCTCAATAGAGGAGGAGGAATAAGACAACACCTATCTCCAGTGCACAATGCAGTCCTTTCAGCAATTCCAAGAAAATTCCTCAATTAACTAAAACTAAGCAAAAAAACAAAACAAAAACACAAACAAACCTTGAAATCTTACTGCTATTTAAAATGAATGACAATATACCCAATAATTAAAGTCATTCAATGCTCTTTAGAAACTATGCAGCATGAACACAACACCTCTTCCAGGCTGCCTACATGTGCATGTGGGCATGACTAGTCGTTTTGATCTGCTAAGTGAAGATGCAGCTGCTTTAATACTTCAAGGATGAGTGATTCTAATTCATTTTTATAGTAAGTCTCCATTAGGTCTGATTGACAGAAGAATAATTCCTCTAGTTCCTCTAATAAAAGTATTTCAGGGATCAGTAAAAAGCATTTATTTGATTCCCAGTTCACATATACCAGCTTAAGGGACAGCTTACCAGAGTTAAGAATCCTCCTGTTATTTATGCATAGCTATATAAATTTTGAGCAATACATAAACTAAAAAACAATTCAGCAACTCTCTATATTGACTTTTACCAACATAAGGAAACAAAGTGTATATCCTTGTGATCTTACCAGATCCAGGAATAATTTGAGTTGGCATTAAATGTTTATGATCGTGAGGTTGTCCTTTCACACATTTCATCCATGCATATAGTTCTTTATCTGTGAAAATTTTAAAAGAAATATCCTGAAGCAATTGAAATCTGCTTTACCAGGAGAAAAGTGGAATCACACAAATGACAATTCTAATACGCACGTGAGTAGAGAGAACTGAAAAAAAGGTGAAACAAGCAATTCTGAAACATTTAAATATATCTTGGCCTTTTATAAAAGGGCACTGACCTCTGGAACTCTTCCTTTCCTTAGCCTTATAGCAATCTAGACAGACCACAAATCCACATTTTTGGCAGACCCAGTGGATATTAAACAGGGTGGCCTCACAGGCATCACACATTTCACGGACTCCTCTGACTGCTCTCTTCCAAGCAATTTTGGCTGAAATACAGAGAAAACAGCATACCAAATACTGAAATTTCAAGACGAGCATCTGTAAACTAAAACAAGAAATGAAAATGCAGCCAAGAAAACCAATCGTTATCTCCTTTTAAGCAATTTTTTAAAAGCCTCTGGCAGCTGTAATCAATTTTTGAATTGTCATAGCATATAATTGTTATCTAAGACATTCTTATTTGAAACTCTTGTCTAAAATATTGCTGGGTATCAAACAAGATTATTTCTAGGTTTTACAATATCTTTTTTTTTCCAGACCAAAACGAAAACTTACAAAAACGAAGTAAAATATTATTTTAAAAAATGAGGAAGTAGACCACTTTAGGAGAAATTGTGGGCTTTTGGTCATTTGGTTGGCCAATGGCAAAAATACGATTATTCCTTCTTACAGAATGTATGGGTTTTAAATGAAACCAGATATAAAGCTATCATTATTTTAGAGAAAATCTTTTTTCACCCATGTAAACTCAGTAGATGAAGCAGATCAGTTCACACAAAAGGTTTTCTATATAGTTTATGGTAATTGCTAATGATTATTATTCTGAACAAAATAAAACTATTCTCTTGCAAAATAGGTTTTAATCAAAAGGTGAATATTTAAATAAAGACTCAGCAACTCGCAGCATATAATGCCAAAAAAATGCAAGAAAGGTATTAAAATGTTTTATGTATGTTTTATTACTTTTATGATCACCATGTTGTTTATTTTAAAAATTTAAGGTTATTGTACCCAACACAAGATTGCTGCAGTAGTGCTCTTCCTGTAGTATTAGGTAATGTTGATTTTGTCTTCTTTCTCTAGGTTTTTAGGCTTCTATGACTTAAATTATATATATAATTTAAGAGAGCTGTGGTGGCACAGTTGTTAGAATGTAGTATTGCAGGTTAATTCTGCTGACTGCCAGCAGTTTGATTCTCACCTGGTCCAGGTTGACTCAGTCTTCCAAGGTCGGTAAAATAAGGACCCAGATTGTTGGGGACAATATGCCGACTCTGTAAACCACTTAGAGAGTGCTATAAAGCACTGTGAAGCGGTATATAAGTCTAAATGTCATTGCTATTTCTATAAATCGATCTGTTTTCTTCTTTTTAAATGTATCCATCCCTCCATCTACTCATCCATCATATTTGCCCATACTCCAATGTACTTTGTTTTGTAATTCAATTCCATTCAGATATATGAATGGAATATTCTCTCCATAACAGATTTTTGCGACAATTAGGAGGAACAGAGAGATGCTGTTCTATCAGTGTGAAATAAAACTGTCTATCTCCTCAAATGCATCACCTAGTATTGATAACATTTTTTGTAAAAAACCAATAAAACTTTTTAATATGAGAATATGCATTAATTAAATTGCACAAACATCTATTGCAAAGTTTGACTTAGTATTTACTTACATCTACACACTGCACTCACCAGTACAGTAAAGCAACATTTCAATGCTACATAAAGATTTCTGAGGAAGATATAAAATCTGGGATAACTGAAACCAAGCATGTTAAGATATGAAAAGTGCTATCGCATCGCATAATAAAAACTAAATAACCTTACCATCCTTTTTGACCCAGGACATAGCTGTTTTTTCAGATGTCACTAACTGACAAAATTTGTCACCTATATGTTCTAAGATGTATTTGCAAGTTTCTACATCCATTTCATCATCTTCATAACTTTCATGTGTCCATAAATTCATAGCTTCATCATCATACTGATCAGGAGAAGAAAAGCCATCAATCCGAACCACTCCATTTTTGCTAAAGGAAAGCCTAAGAAACAAAATAAAGTTATTCAGAAGTCAACAAAGCAACAAACACTTTAATTTTATTAAGATGCTAGATAGCCTGTAACCTCTTGCTCATGGTTTCAGAGATATTTCCTTACAAGATTCCGCAGTGCTTTCAACAATGGCAGAGTTTTAAATTCAGGGAGATATTCAGAGATGGATCTGCCTTGAAATTTTAACTACATAGCACAGTCAAACATCAGGAGTTGTCCAAGATGATCAGAAGAAATGCTTTATGATGTTTTCTATTATGTCATAAAATGTTTTATGATAATTTTTATGTCATAAAATTTGTCTAATTTGAATTCCATAGGAGTCATGGGTCCCAGATTTTGGACACATTCTGCAAGTTAGCCCATTTGGTTCAAAAACAGTTGCCCAATGATACACTATCAAGGTTATGAGAATGAGAGTTTTAGCAGTATATAGATTAATCAGTGCCACTTACAATTATCCAATATTCTATGTAATGCAAAACGCAATATAAGAATATGGGGTTACATTACATGCTTTAATAAAACAAATAAAGGATTTGCTAATTGAAACTTAAGGGGAAGAAGTTTGAATAATCTGCAAATTTTCAACATTTAAATTTAATTCTCAAAAAGTTGAAAGCAATTATTGAAAAGTTTGGCTTTCAGTATTTTTTTCTACATTAGTATGAAATAGTTTTCCAAATCCCTGGGGTACGAATATGTCATTTTTTTAATGTTTTATTACAAATAACGGCAACTACTCCAAAGACAGGTCACAGAAGTAATATGGTATAGTGCAGGGGTAGGCAACCTTGGCTCTTTTATGACTCATGGACTTCAACTCCCAGAATCCCTGAGCCAGCATGGGGAAACTATGGCCCCCTCATGACTTGTGGACTTCAATTCCCAGAATTCCTGAGCCAGCATGGCTCACCTTGGAAATCTCTTCCTTTCTCCTCAGCATGGCTGGCTCAGGAATTCTGGGAGTTGAAGTCCACGACTCATAAAAGAGCCAAGGTTGCCTACCCCTGGTATAGTGGTTAAAGTACTGGATTAAGAGAAAGGAAACCCATGTTTTAGTTCTCCTTTAGATAAGGAAGGCAGCCAGACTAGGATCAGTCACTCCTTCTCAGCCCAAACCAGTGTCTGGCTTTGAGAACTCTGAAAAATGGAACCTCTTGATGCAACAATGCATTCACAGTGTTGCCATACAATCTGAAGTGGCTGCAGTACACAGTAAGCCCACATCTATGGGACAAACACTACAACAACACTGGTGCAGAGAAGGGGCAGCAAAGTTGGTGAGGTGCTTGGAAGCTGAATCTTAAGAAAGCCTACAAGAATGTAGCTGTTGTTAGTTTAAAGAAGGCTAAGCAATCTTCCAATACTTGAGGGCTGTCACAGGGAACAGGGTGTGGATTTAGTCTCCAAAGAATCCAAGGGTAAGAAAGAACCAGGGGCTACAGAGTTTTTACAGAGATTCAAATTCAAGATGAGGAATTTCCTGAATACGAGAACTATTAAAAGTTTTAACATTAAAGTAATAATATTTTCAAACTTTAAAAACAGCTCTCCTACAAAATAGATCAAAAGTAATATCCTGTTCAACTCCATGAACTATTTAGTTTGTTATTTCTCCCCCCCCCTTTTTTGTTTTTAAGAACAAAGACAGTCTTGCTTATGTAATATAACTTTGGGAGCCTTCAGCTGAAGAACAGGATGACAATGATTAAAACAAGCAAAAAATCCAAAAAAGAAGGATTCTTTATTTAAAACAGCTTTTTACATTGTGAATATTCCTATAAGGATGCCCCTCAAGCTGTAGCTCCTAGGAAAATGTGGGCATTCTGAAATACAACTTACCGGCGAAAGTAATAGAATCTGCAGAATACTGGCGAATGAGCTGATTCTTCACTTTTCTTGCTTCTAATCAGTCTACATTCTCTGCATTTTTGCAAATTGGGTCCTATTTCATAGCAAGAATCATCTTGCAAAAAAGATTCTCCAGTTTGCTTCAGCTTCTTGACTTTACGCCAGTCCTTTAATACTGAACGAGGTATGCCAGCTGCAAGCAAAAGTAGTTTTAAAGTTACTGTGATCAATAACAAAAGCAGACCTATAAATGGCAGATCAAGAAAACCTGATTCCATCAAACCTAATTTAGCAAAACAGTTTTTATAGTTAATTTTCTATTTTTGTTGGTTTGCTCCATAATTTATGGAAAAGTTAATTCAGCTCATCATGCTGAATATAAAAAGCTAAATAATTCCAAATATATACTGTATTTCTCATAATTCTGTCTCTGTATTGCATGCAGGAAAAGTTACAGGATGTCCTTGGGTTATGACCATCTGTTCAGTGACTGTTCAAAGTTATGACAATGTTGACGGGGGGGGGGGGGGCTTAAGATAGGTGCTTGGAATTATAGTTGCCATGACTACGATTTCCAATGTTTTTTGCTGGCTTACCACAAGCAACAGCAGTGGGAAAGTCTGCAGGAAGCTAGAAGCTGTGATCAGATGAAATCCTCCCTTAACAATGGCAACTGGGACTGCTAGAATTCCTGTTTCTAAATTAAGCAATCATGGGATGCCACAGAGGTAGTTCTCAATTTATGACCAAATGGAGCCCAAAATTTATGTTGCTAAGTGAAAAATGGGTTGAGTTTTGCCCCATTTTTATGATCTTTCTTGCCACAGTTAAGTGAAATCACTGCAGTTCTTAAATTAGTAACACAGTTGTTCAGTCAATCTGGCTTCCCCATTGACTTTGCTTTTCAGAAGGGAATCACATGACTCCAAGACATGGCAACCATCATAAATGGCAGTCATCAAGCATCCGAATATATACCATGTGACCATGGGGATGCTGCAACAGTCATAAGTATGAAAAATGGTCATTAAGTCACTGTTTGCAGTGCTGTTGTAACTTCAAAACGATCACTAAATGAGCTGTTGTAACTCAAGGACTACCTGTACTCAAAAACTATGTAAAAGTTCTTGGTCCCAATTGCTTTTGTAGCCCAAGAACTATCTATATGTGAAAGTAAATCTCAAGTTCATATACAAAAAAAAAGGAAGAAAAAAAAAGAAAAAGATAGAAAGAGCATGATTTGGTTAGCTTGCCTCAAGATAATAATGTGCCTTGTATAGACATATTTTCTCTTTAAAAACATCATCCAAAGGCCTATATCTAATTATTTGTAGAAAAACTGTACAGTCACACACAATCCTGTAACAATTTACATTTTCAAGTAGATAACGGTTACTACTACGGAAGTAGTGTAAATATTCTTTAAAACACTTCAAAGATTTAACTCCAGTTAACGCAGTTAATGTTTGTCTTTCTCTTCTATATAATCCTCCTCTAGGCCAGCGGTTCTCAACGTTTGTGTGACGGCGACCCCGTCACACAAACGTTATGCACATGTGCGGCGCGATGCGCATGGGGGCGCCCCCCTGCGCAGTGCGCATGCGCGCCGCCCCCCTGCACGGTGCGCATGCGCGCCGCCGCCCCCAGAGGGGAGAAAATGGCGGATCGCCGCCTTTGGCGACCCCCCAAAAATGGTCGATCGACCCCAAATGGGGTCGCGACCCATAGGTTGAGAACCGCTGCTCTAGGCACACCCATATTTGCATCTGCATTGAATAACTGATGATTGCATTATTATATAGTGCTGTCTCTGATCGTGTTGGTATCGTATTATTTTCTCGATACAGAATCTGGGATGTGTCTGCTTGAGGAGATGGAAGACATAGCCCTGGACCATTTTCCCAACTTGTACGCAAGTAGGTACTTACTGTTATTGTTACCACTCTGTAACTTCAATTTGGTTTTTTCTTTGGCACCCCTGCTGAGAAGGCCATTGGGTTTTACATCTTCCTCCAGGTCTCCTTTCCTCTTTTGCAAATCATTCTGTTTCTTTTTGTAGGTGGGCTTCGGCTGCCGTTTTGTCCTCTGCTCTGACTTGCTCTCACTCTCATCAGAATCTCCACTTTCCGAGCCAGATTCATACATTCTTTTTGTTTTTCTCCTTGCATGTTTCTCTTCTTTCACAAGCTTTTCCTCTGCTAATTTATTATCTACATTGTTTTGCAAATCATTTGATGTAGAAGCAATTAAGTTAACAGTACATGGTTTAATCATTTCTGATACACAGTTTTCTGAACTCTCCTTTTTATTAGTGATTTTGTCTTCTTCTGAATGCCTTGTGAGCCAGGCTTTTTTTAACTTTGGGTGATAGTTTGCTTGACTGGTCTGCGAAACTTGCCCACCACTCAGAGTATTTCCTTTGTTGATTGTACTTGATTTGACAGCACTATCCACAGAAACAGAGGCTGGATATATTAGATTTTTCACAGTATGAGATTCAGTATCACTGGTATTGTTAATTTTAAACTGAGCTGCAGCCAATGCTGCCTTGTGCTTTTTCAAGTGAACAAAGTCTGATGGGCCAGAGAATCCAGTGCTCACCTGAAGACTTTCTGTTTTGCTGCAAGGCACTGTAATAGAAGCGGATGAGCTGACATTACATTCCTCTATTACATCCTTATTTATGGGCCTAGAGGCAATACTGTCTGCTGACATACAGGGTAACCCTGCTTTTGGCAAACAATCTGTCACTTGTGAACTGCCTGTACCTGGTGCATCAGTAGTAGTCACTGATGTGATTACATCTGTTATGGTACTGCATAACACAGTTGTGGTTTGCACAACTGAACTGGGAACACTGCCCTGGGAAGCAGCTGGAAAATTCTTTTCGTAGCAGGCATGAATCACATCTGAATTCATTTTTGACACAACTATTCTCCCACTCTCCTTGGCTTCCACTGATTTAATGGAAGCTATTTGATTTATTCCTTTTAATCTTTCACTAGCTTGCACTTTGGGAGCTGACTGCATGATTGATACGGTATCATACTTTGAACTTGAAGGTGGGCGTACAATGACAGAAGCTGTGGCAGAAGGTGATTTCCCATGAGTTCTTTCCATGTGCCATTCTGTTTTTTCATTATTTGGACAACTACTATTTTTCCATATAGCTGAAAGTTTCTGATCTGTGACACTCTTATAAATATTTTGTGTTTCCTTTGGCTCAGGTACTAAAGTTGGTGGCTTTTGTAATTCGTGGACTTTGTTACCTGTATTAACTGGCTGCACTGGAGTTAAGGTTGGAGGAGAAAGACAATTGTAACTCCCTTCTTTCCTCTCCAAGTTGGGATGGACAGGCGGGTGAAACACAGGTGCCCTGTGTAAAGCAGGCATTGTTCGGAGCGAACCAGAGGATGAAATTGTTAACTGAGTAGGGCTTCCACTGTTAGTTCTAAAAGAACTGACTGAATGGGCCATCATTTGCTGTGAAAGCTGATCTGTTCCCTTGCCCACTGAGCTTTCAGTTTCTGGCTGGTGCTTAATCAAAGGCGGAGGTTTTGAAAGGGATGACGTGAAAGGAGTGAGTGATTGAGCAGCAGCAGCAGCTGTTGTTGATGGACAAGTATTCTGTTTATCAGCACACGTGCCTGCAATTTCCTTTGACAAGTATGTTCGTGGAGGTTCATTCACCACACTATTAGACAAGGTGGTAAAGTAATTACTTTGTGGCAAGGTCTGGGGTAGTGAATGCTTCATTTTATAGAGTTCTGATTCTTTGTCAGGTTTTCCTCCATGGTTTGGGGGGTTAGAGGATGATAAAGGCATTATTCTAGAATAAGACTCCTTTTCATTTTCATGGGCCTTCATTTTAACTGTAAAAGAAGCGGCCTCAATGCTTTCCTGCAGTATTCGTCTGTGTTCTTCTTTATACTTGCATAGTCTCTCCCCCGTCTCTTGAAGTGATCTTTGCAGAGGATCTACAAATTGTCTTTGTAAGTGGCCTTCTTTTGCAGCCTGTGATCTGTTCTGTTCTAGATCTGATTTTGCTGAATGTATAGATTCAAAAATTCCCTTCCTCTCCAATTCACTGCACAGAAGAAAAATAAATGCACTGCATTACTTTAGTTTTAGATTAACAAATAATTTGTCCTTATACAGTACTAATAACTTCATTTACTTTAGATGTTTTATGGGTCAGACATGTGATGCACAAGCAATTAGTTGCGACGTAAAACTGTAACTTCTATAGTCTTATTCCCCCCCCCCCAAGAATCACCTCTCATAGACTAAAAAAATGCAAGCTTACTCTTTATGTCGATCCACTATGCCTTTTGACAAGGGAGGACTAGACTGGGATGCCAATTTGAGTGGTCGATGTGGCTCTGCACTAGACGGTCTTACAGGAATATGACTCAGCAGTCCAAGACCATCAGATGAGGTCACAGGGGTGGGCTGGTGTAACCAAGGACTAGGAGTATTCTGGAAAAACAATCATAATTATCAGCAGAATTTAATTATTTCTTAGGAAAGATCCAGGGTAGCCAACTGTTCTTGTTTTTATAATGGTTGAGTCAAAAACTATGATCTAGAATTTCAAATTAATAAATGCACACACACACACACACACACACAGAGCGAGCAATACATTTAAAATGAAGGGTGACATTTTGAACTCTAAACAAAAAACACATCATGGCCAGGAAGAAAAAAAGATCCAATTTCCTTTAAATTTAATATGTTCCAACACTTACCTTCCCTTTTTGAATGCCATTCTTTCAAATTTTCTTACATAATATAAAAAGAAATAAAATATAAAGCCATTTAAGTAGCAACAGAATCCTTAGCCGATGGGGCTGGTCACTTCCTCTCAACCCAATCTACCTCATGGGAAAGTGTTATTGTAGAGAAAAATAGGAGGAGGGGGGCATCATGAATGTCACCTTAAACTCCCATTCAAAAGACAGGATATATATTTAATAACAAAATCAAACATGAATGCAAAAAGATACTTCAGAATGAATGGCAGTGTAAATGTCTCTGCAATTCTTTAAATCAAGGGTTCTTTCTTGGGTTGCAGGACAGCTGCAGAAGGCAGCCATGTGATCCTAGAAAAAGACACGCCACTTTGAGCAGCTGTGGACATCTGCTACATTCATGCCTCCATGCCGCACCTTTTCTGTCTTCAAATCTGAGGGGCAGCACAAACCTAATTTCTGGTGAAAGACACATGCTTCTCATCTGCACTGACGATATTTCTAAGATTTGTTTAAGAAAGCAGACTGATCCCCACATTTTGCTAGCTTTAACAGAAAGCGGTACAAAGAATTTAACAGGATTTCAAATTCCGTGATGAAAGTGACGGCTATCACATTAAACTAGAGAGAAGCTGACAATTATGATTTAGGAGCCATTTTGGTCAAGGTTAAAATAGTGGTAAAGCTGTTTACATTAACCAAAGCAATTTAACATGCTCACAAACATGCCTACTTCTTTCTGAAGAAACCCTTTTGTATTTTTTTTTTTTAAAAACGGATTATTGTAATTATTTTTAAAATGGAGTTGTTCAAAGCTAATAACATTGGTCAGTTTTTATATAGCATGAACATTCTCTAATTTACAGAGTTTTTTTTCCTTTTTAAAAATGAATTTAAAATGTAATTCAGAAACTACTGTACCTCTTTACATCAATAGCACATCATTCTATTAACACATATAAACAATAAGGTAGTATAATAGAGGTAATTGTCTATTTCCATAAACAAAACAGCAATTATTTAAATTTACCAGTTAGGCAAGTTAGGCCCACACCCTTCCATTTAAATAAGGTTTGGCTACATAAAACACTACATCCCAAAGACCCGCCCCATATATATTATTTTGGGGTTCAGTAAGACTTACTCTCCTCGAAGAAGTCTCAGCGTTAACAGAAGTTTCCGAATGGACCCATTTGGACGATGGTATTCCAAGTCCTGAATAAGCATGTGCTCCATTTGGATACTGCCAAATAACTGGATAAAGTCCTAAATGATTATATGAAGTAGATGGGTGAGTTTGCCCAAGAAGATGTGGTGACTGGTGCTGTAGCAGCTGCTGCTGATGTGCTAATGCTAAATGACTTAAACTGCTTGCGTGAGCAGTTTCTAGTCGTGGATGACCTCCCAACAAAGAGGCTGTAGGCATTCCTGGTAGAACTGCAGGGAGCAGATGTTGATGGTGAACAGAATGATGAGATGCACTGCTAAGAGGATGTGTGTTAATAGCAGACAATGGAGTTTGATTTGAGGATTCGGCTAATAAATGGGGTGTGCCTGTTAATGCAGAGTGATGGGTGCTTGGATTTAAAGAAGTTCTATGGGAAGTGCAATGAGGTGGGTAATTATGCTGATGTAAATAGGGGGTCATATGATTAGTTCCCGTTTCCTGACCAAGAAGAATGGGATCTCTGTAAATTGTGAAATGTTCTTTTTTGTCAACAGGAAGAGCATTTTTAGTAGCTTCTAATGAACTAACTCTAGGTGAAATTGAATGGAAGCTAGACCTGGGCAAATCAGGATCTGTTTTAACCGCTGTCTTTGTTATTCCAATAACATGGCTGTTAAGATAATTAACCTTGGATTTCACAGTATCAGGTGACTGGACAGGTTTATATTTAATTTCTGGAGAGGTGTTTGGCTTGGTTTTAGAATTTTCAACCTGTGGACCAGTTTTTGACCTCATAGCATCCAAGACTGCAGTTTGTTTACGAACTCTGCCTTCTTCTGTTAGAGATATTACAGTTAAAGATGGTACAGAACCACAGTGAATGTTTTCAGAATTTAAATGTTCATTTGCTGACATATTTTTCCCAACATTTGATTGCATCAGTTCCATTTTATTGGCATTATTAATCCAGTTCTCAACAGTTTCTGATTTGTTTACTTCCAGAATGTTGATATTGGTAAACAGGTGTTTAGAATCACTGCTAGGAGATTCTGTTTCCTGACCAGTTTGTAAACTAAAACTACTTGATAAGTGTTCCTGAGTCTGATTAACTGAACTGGTTTCAGTATTTGTGTCAATATAACTTTTTGGTGTGGGACAATTGGTTACAAATTGTTCATTGGGTAGGTGCTCCCTGGGATGCTTATTTTCCATTCTGCACTCTTGAATGCAGCCATCATTATCACTATGATCATAGACTGTTGGCAGTTCAGCTTGATGGAGTGAAATTTCTTGCAATTCCAAATTGGCTGATTCTGGTCTTTCTATCCGTTGATGAGACTGGTTACCTATTAGGATTTTTTCTTCTACCGTGTCACTCTGGGATTTTCCTTCTTTCCCATTTATCTTTACAATGTTTTTGCTTTTCAATTCAGTATCTGAATTTTGCTCTGAGGAAGAATCTGTCAATCTTTTGTTTGAATTTTCAGAGTCACTACTCTCGGAACTGTCAGAAGTGTTGTCTGTCCGCTGTCTCTTTGCGCTCTTTTTTCTCTCCTCATCTTCTGGTTTTCTTCTTTTGGAAATGTATAATTTATTTTTACTTTTGGAATTTTCTGCAAAGGAAAAAAAATACCCTTAGTATTGTTTTTAGAAGAAAAATTCCTGCTAAATAATTCCTTATAAAATTATTTTTACCTCCATGGCTTATACAGTCATATTTTTCTTCTTTAGTTTTCTCTTCCTCCGGCATGCTACTGTCGGAACCTTTCCTTTTATTTGGACGAGCGTTTCGTTGTAACTGCTGTGAATTTTGTTTTGGTGCTGCATTTTGGGAATTCATTGCTGGCCTGGGGCTATTTGCTTGAGCTCGGGTATAGTGGCCCTAAAATAAGATACATATGTTTACACATTTGTAAATCACTAGTCCAATACATACAGACATAAAAAAAATGACAATGTAATTTAAAAATCAAATATATCTACGTGAGCTGTGTTGCTGTTTTGACTGGAACGAGACCTGCGTCGTGACGTAATGCCTATATTTTCACCTTTCAGCAAAGAATGAACAACATCATCTAGAAAGGTCATCTGAACCATAGACGGATCAACATTTTGTGGCTCTAATACCTGTTTTATTAGAGGAAAAAAATATAATCATTTTCTATTTATATCTTCTATAAAGAAAGTCAACTGGAAACACAAATTCAGCTTAAAAGGACAGTTTTAAAGGAATAAAATTTACAAAAAAAAAAAAAATGAAAATGGCATCTTTTCTTTTAAATCAGGGATTTGCCAAGATTTCACCCCTTATTGTAAATGGGAAATTCTTGTACAGGTTGTCCTTCAGACCAGGAGTTACTTTGCTAAGCACTGTGGTTGCTACATCCCTTAGCCATGAAAGTTCTGGCAGTTAAGTGAGGACTTCATGCAACCTTGGCTTCTAGTTGGCTTCCCCATTAACTCTGCTTGTGAAAAAACCAGTAGGGAATATCTGAAATCTCAAATCATATAACTAAGGCAGGGGAGTCAAACTGCTGGCCCGTGGGTTGGGTGCATTATAGCAAAACCGCGCCCACCACATTGCCGGCAATGGCAAAATTCGCGATACATTGCGACATGTCATGTGACGTTGCGAGTTTGACACCCCTAGACTAAGGCTTGCTGCAACATCGTAATCAAACTGAGCAACATCCAGATTACGATTACATGACTGTGGGAATGGTGCGATGGCTGTTACTCCAAGGACCTATCTTAATTTGCCCTCTTTCAGCACCATCACAACTTTGAACATTGCTGAATGTATGGTCATAATCCGAGTAAAATAAAACTAAGGTATAAAGGCAGGAAGTGAAATGTGTTTGGTTTAAGTCAGAAAGAGTCATTAATGACACCTTACATCCTTATCAATCAGCATTAAAATGAAACTAGATGAAAGGTTATATTGGCCTTTATACCTATCTAATAGCATTAGATTTGATGAATTTATAATACTGAGCAACCTGCCCAAATTCTTCATTTCTTAAATTTGCTTCAAAAATACAAATAAAACAGAAAAAGAAAAGAAAAAAGAAATTGAAAAAGGACATTTCTCATAGATACAGAACATCTCTCAGTTTTTGAACTTTGACTCCCTTGAGTAATGGTGAACAATCTTTCTATTACACTGATGGAAAGCCAGTTCAAAAGCAAAAATACCCACATACATATTGTTTATCCATTATTGAAAATTCAGGCTAGCATTGTCTTTGTATCATAATGTTTTTGCTTAGTCACATGATTGATTGGTTTATGATTCTTTATATAATTATTAATTGCAAATGTTTGGCATATGCTGCAAAATATCATTTGACTCTTTAATCCATATTAGTCTTCCCAAATGATATTAGCAAGTGTACAGCTATTAAATTAGTATCATATGGAAAAGTGTTCCCTCAGTTATTTTGAATTCAATATAATTAAACTGTCAACCAATCCTTTTAAAAATTCTCTGAGATGTCCAACAACCATAGTGACAAAACCATTGTTGGCAACTTTTTTTGGGATTCTATTCATTTATGCTGAGAATATCAAGGATTACTATAATAGTTCTTCAATCTGCTTTTGTTCCAAGAATTTTTTATATTTAATCAGGGCACAATTAATAAAACTCTAGATCAGGCATGTCAAATTCACGACGTCACGGAGCTTTTTCGTTATTGCTGGCAATAGAGTGGACACAGCTCCAGTATGAAACCGGCCAGCAGTTTGATACCCCTGCTCTAGATTATTACCAATTACAAGATCTACATTTTAAAATTAAAATAAATAGCCCTGTAATCATTTTCATCTTAAGCTATTAAGCACTCTTTTAAAAACAGTGTATATACAAAATCAATCTAAAGCCAATTATGTCACACATTCATATCTAGTTTCAGCGCTGATGCACATTTAAAGAACAATTTCAGTAGAGAAAAAAATAATTACCTGATCATTCATAACAATCATAGTGCGACTGAACAGATCATGATGAGTAATTATACCAGTGAACCATTGGGTGGCAGAGTCCTGTCTATATACTCTCACCCTATAGCCGTTTAAAGAATAAGGACCTTCAAAAAATGAAAATAACATTTGAGGATTATTGAAATAATATTCCAACAGAGTTTAATTTTAGAAGTGCATGCAGTAGAGGTTAAACTATATTATAAAAACAACCCTAAGTAATGAAAAGTCAATGTCCATCATGCTTTTTAAAGGCTACCATTTATTTTTTTAATTCAGCGCTGATAGTTCCTGATATTGATAGAATATGGCAGATGTATGTATAGAGTGCTAAGTTTCCAGGGTGGTGGTGGAGAATAAAAATCTTTGCAAGCCATGATTCCAGTGGGCGTGAAATGTACTCATATGTTAAGTACAAAATGCTGAATAGAAAAACAAGCCTAATTTTATGAACAGAAGCTGTCCAACATACTGTATGTTACTAAAAACATATGACTTTCATATAGAAAGAATTTAGTCCCTGAAGTCTGGGTTTACACAGCTGCCAAGATTCCCCCAAAATCGACTACAGAATTTTTTTTTACCTTCAGCAGTCTCTGTTTCTTTCCATTATAAATGTGCTGTTAACAATATTACATTCATAAATTTAAATATATAACTTGTAAGTTATGTATTAGCTCAAATATGTCAGTTGAAGCAAGTTTACTTTAGAAGTAAATTTAAAATTCATGCATGAATAAATCACACTTTTAAAAGTTATATATTTTTTATCAACTATCCTTCTACAGTATTATTCTTATTTATTGTAAATAGGTTCATTAAACTGCTTCCCTGTGCCACACTATTCATAATTAATTTTTTTAAAATTTCATCTTCAAGTTATTTTGGTATTTTTACATCTATCTGGGGTACCACCAACTTTAGCAATGGCTAATGAAGGAGTGGTATATAGGCCTGGGACTAT